TGGGGCTTCCTGGGGTGGGGCTTCCTGGGGCTCCCCTCCAGCTTCTTTGTTCCCACCACGCTCAGGTGCGGTCTTCTGAGCTTATCAGGTGGCTTGATGCCAGGGGACCCCAACCAGGGGGAACCAGTGATTCCGAGCCCCCCAACTCAGGCAGAAAGAGGTGCGTCCTCCATCTGAGGTCTACCCGTGGGGCAGAACCGCGTCTCAGTCACCATGTGTCTGTCTGCAGTGCTGAGCACCGTGTGGGCCGCAGAGGCCACTCGCTGTCCTGGCCTGGGTCGGTTTGTCCTCCCAGCTCAGTGTCCGCCTCGAAGAGCTCATGACGCCCTGCTTGTAACAGACGTCCCCTCTGACCCTCACCCGAATCCACCCTCGTCCCTTCCGCCCGCTTGGAGCTCCCTGCTGCCTCCTCGTGCCCCCCGCTCAGCCGCGGGGCCCCCCGGTCCAGGCTGCCCCCCCCCCCCCGGCCCTTTCTCCCTGCGCCTGGCGCCTCCCGCCTCCTCCCACGGTGTCCAAGCTCATCCGCCTCCCGAAGCCGCTGTCACTTTAGCACCAACGGTCACCCCTTCTCCAGCATGTTCCCCTGGCAGCACGGGACAGGGACAGAGCCTGGCTTTTGTCCTCGGAGACACCCGGGGTGAACCCCAACTTAATGCCTCCAGCTGTGGGACCCCGACCCAGGAACGGAGCGTCTGCCTCATTCTACCGTCCGCTTTCCTCCGAGCCTGACCGTGGGCCGGGACCCGAGTCGAACCCTTTTTCTGAAGACCTGGGGTTTTCTGTGCTCCCGGAAGCCACTGGGCCGGAAGAAGGGGTAAGTCATGGTGGGAGGGACGAGGACCGAGGATGGGCGTCCCCTGCAGCCGGCGCCGTCCCACAGAGCTGTCAGCATGGTGCTGAGGGCAGGAAGCCGGTGGTGGCACCATGCTGAGCGTGACCGTGACCGAGGCGGGGACCCTGTGGGAGGTCGGCTGTGAGGAACGGGAGGGAGCTAGGACCCTGTGGACGAGTCGAGGCCTGGTGCGTGTTGGAGGTGGAGGGGCTGAGATGCTGAGAAATGGGGGGGGGGGTTCCCAGAAGCCGGGTCCAGACGTGGTCCACACTCTAGATGCCTGGGGCTCAGAGCCCAGACGTGACCTCCAGGCCCCCTCGCCCCCCACGGTCTCTCTATTCTCACTGGGCGGTGCTGGCCACACTGGACTCCCCAGACCCCGGAGCTCGGGAGTCGTGGGGCGCAGAGTGCGGGGCGGCCCCGGTGACAGCGCTGGAGGTGAACGCCAGACTGGAACACGGGTCCCCAGACTAAGTCAGAGCCGGCTCCGCTGAGCGAACAGTGATCACGCGTGGGCACCGTGTGCTCAGTGTCCCACCTGGGAGGGGCTGACCTTCCCTCCAGCAGATCCTGCTGCCCGAACCGAACCCTCCGCAGGAGCACGGCTGGGCCGGCCTCGCACCCCAAACGCATTTGGTACCAGCACCAGGGGCGGGGGGAGCCCGC